TAAACCCCAACCCCCCCAAACCCCATACCCCCGTACATCCCCCTGTTAATGAAATCTCTATAGTAGTTTCCATTTTCTTTTCCATTATCCCCATATAACCCCAATATAACCCTAGTATCCTTGGATTGACCTAAAGGATTCCCAACTTAAGGAAAGGGAGGTAATGTAATCTGCAAATGGCCTCTCGGATGAGCTCCTCCATCTCAGAGCCGTCGAAATGCTCACCCAGGACCTCACAGTCACTGAGTACGCGGTTTAGGGTTTAGGGTTCGGGGTTTAGGGTTTAGGATTTAGGGTTTAGGGTTTAGGATTTAGGGTTTAGGGTTTAGGATTTAGGATTTTGGGTCTACGCAGTTTAGGGTTCGGGGTTTGGGATTGAAGGGGTCGAAGGTGAGTAGCATAGGCCCCTTAGGGACCCTTACGTGTACACATAGGGTATAGTATAGCAAGTATAAAAGAACCCCAGGGTTAGGACCCACGGTTTCAACCTTAGAGTCAGGGCAGGGTTCAATTTTTTTGTGCTTATGAATGGCTTCGTGGGTGGTAAGTAGGGAATACGAGAATTCAACGCCTATATAATCCCAATCAAATTTTCTCCCTTCTCCTACTAACCCCCAATGAGATGAGGCCCATTCAGGGCCCTAAAGTCTGTAAGAAATACCACCTGGCAAAGCATGTCACTTGGTTTGCTTTCCCGGCAAGGGTTGACGTGAAACCTACAGCGTTGCTCAAATGGGGACATCCTTGAAAGCGTCAGCGCGGTAACCCAGACCCGTGATTGATTAACCCCTCCCCCTAATAGGGATTAGAACTGGGATCCTAATATGAAGGCCCTTATATACTAAAGTAATTTCCAAGCTCTTTTCCATCATCCGTATATAGCCCTATGTAGCCGTATATTGTAAGGCACTTAAAAAGAGGGGGCTTATTATTCACCCTAAACCCTAAACCCCTAAGTATTAGTTTCCATTCTATATTCCACTATCCCAATGAAGCCCCTATGTATCCTTCATCATGGGTCTACCTGGAAGCTTCTGCAGCTCTCACCTGTCTTTTCGTGCTGCTGAAAGCGCCAGGCCACTGCTGGCTTCCAGACCCCACTGCAAGGGGCTAAATCATTGCCAAGATCCGTTGTGGACTATTCGAGATACTCTATATTCTATAAGAACCTAGGACAATAGTATTAGTAGCCCTCGCCGCCCGACGCCCCTTAACTAAAGAGCTCAAGAGCGCAACTCTAAAACCATCTGGAAACCTTGCATCGTATAAGCCTACACCCTGAACAGGTTGGGTCCTTAAGCCCTAAACCCCAAAAGGGTGGGCAAGGCTGCTTTACTGGGTGGTGCGGTTCGGGAGGGCTTAGGGTATGGTTTCCCATGGTTCCCAGACCCCCAAAAGGATCTAAAAATTAGATCCCCTAGAACCATAGGGGGAATTATATAAGGAATATATAGGGGCTATAATAGGTCTATATAACCGATCTAATCTTTAGATCCTCCCAGAGGTCTGGGTTGATACTAACAAGACATAGGCTTTAGGGGAAAATCGTGCATGACCTCTTGACAGCGTGGGTTCAGGGTTTAACGCTCAGGTTTGGGGTTTCGGAAAATCTGTTTGACTTTATGTCGGCAAGTTCTCATAATTTTTCTATTCAAGGTTATGCAGGATGTTTTATTATCAGCTCTAAGGCCCGACATACTTCTAGTCTCGAGTTCATATAGGTTCAGGGCATTTGAGTTTAGGATTTGAGGTCCAAAGGGTTGACAGGGGGCCAGTAAGTGATCTCGCTGCGATGTAGAACCCTAAAGTGCACCACCCTACGATGTGTCATACTTTAGGTGGACCCCCCACCCAGTAATAGTGACTATAGGGGATAAGAGGGATTATATTAGGGTCCTCTTATATTCTTATTATACCACTATTACAGGGTGGGGGGTCCTCCTAAGAAATACTCATGTAGCAGCCATTGTCCAAGGCCAGGCTGCATATGCGGAATTCAA